AGGGGCTTTAAAAGTGTCGACCTATCGAAAATATAGGGTACTGAAGTTCGTCGGCATATCAAATTTAAGGTATGACAAGGTATCTATTTACTCGCTGCAACCTCATCTTTTATATTTTACAAAAAAATAGGGTAATTTATTGCTTTTTTGTGCCCTAAAATTAACTTACTTGTATTTTTTACAAAAAGTTTGCGATAAAATCATGCGACATAAAAAATTGGAACTACCACTATTTTATTCTTTAGGGTCTCTACTTTCAGAAAATATATAATGTTTCAGAGTTTTATGTAATCTTCAGGCCTAAAATTATTTTTTTTTAAATGTTCGCAAAAAATGGCTCTGGCAAGCGAAAACTCAAAAACGGCTCTGGCAGTGAAAGGGATAAAGTCTAAGCCCTGACTTCCCCCTCCTTTCCTGACGATCAGCCAATCGGTACTCATTACACTGCAAGGTCTCTCCCCTCCCTGCTAGTCCCCCAGGTGCTGTGCTGGAGACAGACAGGGAGGGGAGGAGGAGATAAACAGCGCAATGTTAAAAAAAATTACACGTTTAAGTCGCAATAAAGCCCGTTTTGTTTTTAAAAGCCCCATACATTCCAAAAACCACCTCCGATTTAAATACGGTTTTGGTTAAAAAAAAGAACATTTTTTTTATCAGGACAAGTAGATTGTCATTAGGGACAAGTAGATTGGGGCCCCGATTTAGTCCCTGAACAAGTAGTTTTGTCAAAAATTGCCACAACCCTGCTCTCTGCTCAGACCGGCAGGGAGAACTGAGTGATCAGCGGTGTCTGATCGCTCAGTTCTCAACCCTTAGAGCCACCGGGGGACAGATGCAGCATCGGATCGATGCTGCATCCACCTAGATAAGTACAGTGAGGAACAGAAGTATTTGAACACCCTGTGATTTTGCACGTTCTCCCACTTAGAAATCATGGAGGGGTCTGAAATTCACATTGTAGGTGCATTCCCACTCTGAGAGAGAGAATTTTTAAAAAAAATTCAGGAAATCACATTGTATGATTTTTAAAGAATTTATTTGTCTTGCACTGCTGAACATAAGTATTTGAACACCTAAGAAACAGCAAGAATTCTGGCTCTCAAAGACCTGTTACTGTGCCTTTAAAAAGTCCACCTCTACTCCACTCATTAATCTAACTTAGTAGCACCTGTCTGAGCTCTTTAAAGACACCTGTCCATCCCACAGTCAGTCAGACCCCAACTACTACCATGGGCAAGACTAAAAAGCTGTCAAAAGACACCAGAGACAAAATTGTGGACCTCCACAATTCTGGAAAGGGCTATGGGGCAATTGCCAAGCAGCTTGGTGAAAATAGATCAACTGTTGGAGCAATTGTTAGAAAATGGAAGAGGCTAAAGACGACTGTCAGTCTCCCTCGGACTGGGGCTCCATGCAAGATCTCACCTCATGGGGTATCACTGATATAAGAAAGGTGAGGAATCAGCCCAGAACTACAAGGGAGGAGCTGTTCAATGACATGAAGAGAGCTGGGACCACAGTTTCAAAGGTCACTGTCGGTAGAACACTACGCTGTCATGGTTTCAAATCATGCATTGCACGGAAGGTTCCCCTGCTCAAGTCATCACATGTCCAGGCCCGTCTGAAGTTTGCCAATGACCATCTGGATGATCCAGAGGAGGCATAGGAGAAAGTCATGTGGTCAGATGAGACCAAAGTAGAACTTTTTGGTCTAAACTTCACTCGTCGTGTTTGGAGGAAAAAGAAGGATGAGTTGCATCCCAAGAACACCATCCCTACTGTGAAGCATGGGGGTGGTAATATCATGCTTTGTGGGTGCTTTTCTGAGAAGGGGACAGCAGGACGACTGCACTGTATTAAGGAGAGGATGAATGGGGCCATTTATTGTGAGATTTTGAGCAACAACCTCCTTCCCTCAGTCAGATCATTGAAGATGGGTCGTGGCTGGGTCTTCCAACATGACAACGACCCGAAGCACACAGCCAGGAAAACCAAGGAGTGGCTTCGTAATAAGCATATCAAGGTTCTGGAGTAGCCTAGCCAGTCTCCAGACCTAAATCCAATAGAACATCTTTGGAAGGAGCTGAAACTCCGTGTTGTTCAGCGACAGCCCCGAAACCTGACAGATCTAGAGGAGATGGGCCAAAATCCCTGTTGCAGTGTGTGCAAACCTGATCAAGAACTACAGGAAACGTCTGACCTCTGTAATTGCAAACAAAGGCTTCTGTACCAAATATTAACACTGATTTTCTCAGGTGTTCAAATACTTATGTTCAGCAGTGCAAGACAAATAAATTCTTTAAAAATCATACAATGTGATTTCCTGAATTTTTTCTATAATTCTGTCTCTCAGAGTGGGAATGCACCTACAATGTGAATTTCAGACCCCTCCATGATTTCTAAGTGGGAGAACTTGCAAAATCGCAGGGTGTTCAAATACTTCTGTTCCTTATTGTATATTTAAAAAAATCCCCAACTTCTCTTTCGAGTGCAGAAAACTGACCTTCCTTGATCGAATAATGTTTTGTTGGATATATGTTTCCTGTAGGTGAATCAAGTAATACAAATATAGCACAGCAATGTCCCAGTCTTGTCTATTCCTGGGATTCCTCGCAGGAACATCAAGTGATCTTACTTCATTATCAGGTATTTGGAGTGTAGTGAGAAGCAATGTAATGTAGATCTGTGTTCAGAACCAGGCCACAAAGGCCAAATATTGTTTATTGTTCCTTTTGTTTTATTGGATGCAGGAAGAAGTACCGAGTACATTTAAAACTAAAAAAACAAATGATGGTGAGACATGTGTTAGGGATGATGAACCGTGCAAGGTGGAAATTCTTCCAGAGATTGACATAGGTAAGTAGTGAGCGCTAAATGTAAAGAGAAGAGTCCCACAATCTCTTCTTCTCCCCTCTAATAGGGAGATAGTTCCCCATTCTCCCCCCCAAAAACATACTCTCTGGGGTCTCTCAATCTCAATACAGGGGTCTTCACTGTCATTTTTATTTACAGGCCTCAGAGACACGAGCACAAAAAATGTTAAATCTGAAGAGGACGCACAAATGAAAATTAAAGAGGAGGAAATTCCTCAAGAGATCTTAACATGTGAGTAGTAAACTTCATCCTTGTTCAGTCACTACAACCAACTCTTCTTCTCCCCCCTCCTCTGTCAGTAGACAGTAATGGGGGGACAGTATGTGCCCAGTGGGGGGGTCAGGAGCCATCAGCCTCTATGAGACTCCGGCTCTCCTCCTCACATCATGTCATTGAGACGTGACCAGTCTCCCCCACACACACTCTCTGGGGTCTCTCATACATCTCAGTACAGGGGGCTTCACTCTCATCTTTATTCACAGACCCCGGAGATATTCAGAGAGACGTCAAAGCTGAGGAGGAGGAAGAAGGACTTGCAAGGATTAAAGAGGAAATTCTTCCAAAAATCAGCACAGGTGAGCCATGAACACTAAATATACACTATATTGCCAAAGGTATTGGGCCCGCCCTCCAAATCATGTGATTCAGGTGTTCCAATCCCCTCCATGGCCACAGGTATATACAATCAAGCCCCTAGGCATGCAGACTGCTTCTACAAACATTGGGGAAGGAATGGGTCGCTCTCAGGAGCTCAGTGACTCCAAGTGTGGTTCCGTGATAGGTTGCCACCTGTGCAATAAGTCCATCCGTGACATTTCCTGGCTACTAAATATTCTACATTCAACTGTTAGTGGGATTTTAACAAAGAGGAAGCAACTGGGAACAACAGCAACTCAGCCACCAGGTGGTAAGCCACGTAACATGACAGAGCGGGTCAGCGCAAGCTGAAGCGCACAGTGCACAGAAGTCACCAACTGTCCGCAGAGTCAATAGCTAAAGACCTCCAAACTTGGTGTGGCCTTCAGATTAGCACAACAACAGTGCGTAGAGATCTTCATGGAATGGGTTTCCATGGCCGGGCAGCTGCATCCAAGCCTTACATCACCAAGTGCAATGCAAAGCAGCGTCGGATGCCATGGTGTAAAGCACGCCGCCACTAGACTCTAGAGCAGTGGAGACGTGTTCTCTGGAGTGACCAATCATGCTTCTCTGTCTGGCAATCTGATGGACATGTCTGGGTTTGGTGGTTGCCAGGAGAACGGCATTTCCTGACTGCATTGTGCCAAGTGTAAAGTTTGGTGGATGGGGGATTATGGTGTCGGGTTGTTAACCAGGGGTTGAGCTTGGCCCCCTAGTTCCAATGAAGGGAACTCTTAAGGCGTCAGCATAGCAAGACGTTTTGGACAATTTCATGCTCCCAACTTTGTGGGAAGAGTTTGGGGATGGCCCCTTCCTGCTCCAACACGACTGCACACCAGTGCAGAAAGCAAGGTCCATAAAGACATGGATAAGCGAGTTTGGGGTGGAGGAACTTGATTGGCCTGCACAGAGTCCTGACCTCAACCCCATAGAACACCTTTGGTAGTGAATTAGAGCGGAGACTGCGAGCCAGGCCTCCTCCCCTGACATCAGTGCCTGACCTCACAAATGTGTTTCTGGAAGAATGGTCCAACCTTCCCATAGACATCCTCCTAAACCTTGTGGACGGCCTTCCCAGAAGAGTTGAAGCTGTTATAACTGCAAAGGGCGGGACAACTGAATATTGAACCCTACAGACTAAGGCTGGGAGGCCATTAAAGGTCATGTGAGTTGAAAGGCAGGCGGCCCAATACTTGTGGCAATATAGTGTAGTAGAAGATGTTTTTTACATTAGCGATTTCTTTTGCTCATTGTTCATGCGTAAAAAACCTGACTTTTTTATTTTTGTGTGTGGCTGTTCTCAGTATGTATTAACAATATAGCTAATTGCACAGGACTTGGTCCTGTACTTAAAGGAATAGTGAGGACAAGTAGGGGGCAGTGTACAGGGGATTGACAGATGTGTGTGGAGCTATAACAGGTTATTCTTTATAAACCAGTTGTTTTTCTGGATCGTAGGAGGACACTTCATCATAAATTTTCTCTTGGACCAAAGGAGACTTGAGACTGACCAACCTCACTTAGAGGTAGTAGTAAAGGAATCTACCGTATTTTTCGCTCCATAAGACACACCTAGGTTTTAGAGGAGGAAAACAAGGAAAAAAATATTCTGAACCAATGGACTGCAGACACAGCACAGGAGATGACCAGAGACTGCGGACACAGCACAGGAGATGACCAGAGACTGCGGACACAGCACAGGAGATGACCAGAGACTGCGGACACAGCACAGGAGATGACCAGAGACTGCGGACACAGCACAGGAGATGACCAGAGACTGCGGACACAGCACAGGAGATGACCAGAGACTGCGGACATAGTACAGGAGATGACCAGAGACTGCGGACATAGTACAGGAGATGACCAGAGACTGCAGACCTGTGGGGGGAAGGGTCTTTGCCGGCACCCAAATTTGACAGGTACCCGCGCTCCCACTACCGCTGCGATTGCCTCTCTCCCGAAGTCTTTTGGGACACATGACAGGTCCCAGAAGATTACAGGGCCCATTCACAATGCGCAACGCTTCTCGCACATGCACAGTGGGCGCCCGGCTGTGAAGCCGCAAGCCGTCACAGCCTGGTGCCCACACTAAAGATGATGAGGTGATGAGGACACCACTGGACTGAGGAGCAGGTTCTCCTGCACAGAAGAGCTGAGTATTCTAACCCGGCAGCAACGGGGGAACACCGGGCCGGCCGCTCCATATTCGCTCCATAAGATGCACAGACATTTCCCCCATTTCTTGGGGGGAAGAAAGTGTGTCTTATGTTGCAAAAAATACGATAATTTGGTCACCAAGTTTGTGTGTTTCCTAATATCAAACAGGTAGATCAGGCCACTGTATACAGTACTTACTTATTTGCTTTAGTTAGGAACATTTCCATGTTAAAGTCTTCATATAGTCAAGTATCTTCTTAGGCCCTTTGCACACGGGTGGTGAGATTTCAGCTGTATTCCTCATTAAAAAGAACTCCACATAGTGCTTTTATCCTTTTAAACTTTTATTTATCAATTAAAACATAAGAAATACACTCATGTTCCGGAGGTGTATTTTGCCCCAGGTATGATGAAGATCCAGTAATGTACTGATTAAACACAAGATGGCAGTATCATCTCTGCAGCAGAGTCCTGTACATGCTCAAAAACAGACGCCATCTGTAATGTGATGCAAGGCAAAGCACGGGCCCACTTAATGAATTATATTGCCTGCTTAATGTCGTCCCAAGAGCCGTTTGTAGAGCACTACAAGCCACTATCCCGATGAATGGCAAACGTTGTGACATCATCCGCACACTCCTCCCCTACACGTTTTGTTACTAATCACGTGACTTTATCAAGGAGATATGATTGAACCGTTCGACAGTCAATTTATATAGTAAACCAGCGCCATTTTGTTGCAGACTGGCCTAGCACATGGTGGAAAAGCCGATCGGCGCCATTTTAATGAAGACCAAACAAGGGAGAAAAAAAAGGCGGAGGAATGTGCAGATGACGTCACGACGTTGCCAGTCATCGGGGATAGCGGCTTGTAGTACTCAGTAAACGGCTCTTGGACGACATTACAGAAGGCAATATCATTCATTAAGTGGGCCCATGCTTTGCCTTGCATCACATTACAGATGGCGTCTGTTTTGAGCATGTGCAGGACTCTGCTGCTGAGATGATACTGCCATCTGGTGTTTAATCAGTACATCACTGGATCTTCATCATACCTGGTGCAAAATACACCTCTGGAATGTGAGTGTATTTCATATGTTTTAATTGATGAATAAAAGTTTAAAAGGATAAAGCACTATGTCGAGTTATTTTTAATGAGGAATTCGGCTGATACAAAAATTCAGAAGGGAACTTACTTTGGAGTCTTCATTCAGCAAGCTGATCTTCTGACTCCATGTGGGACCAAAAGTGCAGTTAGACCGTAACATTGTATAATGTGAGGTCACACTGCGTGAGGTGAGCAGATACATGGCGGAGGATGTCTTTGCATGGGAATTGATGACAGATGCACATATTTTTTGTTATCCAAAGAAGGGTTCACTGAATGAACACTTTATTGATTGAAGTTGATTTTTTGAATGACTTTTGTTTGATTCATACTTTAAAAAAAAAAATATATATATATATATATATATATATATTTTTTATTTATTTCAATATTAATATTTTTTCTACTATTCTTTTCTTCATATATATATATTTTCACTTTTTTTGGTTATATAATGGATTGTGCCATTGTTTCATGTAGCGCAGAATTTTTTCACTTTACATTGTGATTGTATAATTTGCCCCACTGAGACATGGGTTGTGTGTACTGGTGCCTACAGTATTTAATTGTAGTTTTTTGTTTTTATTGCACCATATTTAGCACTAGAGTTATTCAATTTATTTTAGATATCACACAGCACACTGTTAACCCTTTGATTGCCCCAGATGTTAACCCCTTCCTGCCCACTGTCATTAGTCAGTGCTTTTTATTAGCACTGATCACTGTATTAGTGTCCTTGGGATGTCAGTCGCCATTAGTTAGTTCCCCCAAGTGTCAAAATGCCTGCCGCAATCCCGCAATAAGTCGCTGATCACCGCCATTACTGTTATTAAAAATAAAAATTAAAAAATTCCAGTATATATACCGCCATTTGTAGATGCTATAACTTTCACGTAAACCAATTAATTTACACGTATTGGGATTTTTTTTTTACAGCAAAGACATGGAGAAGAATACATTTTGGCCTACATTTATGTTTTATAGCAAAAAGTAAAAAATATTCTTTTGGTTTTTTTTTTTTCAAAATTGTAGGTTTTTTTGTTTATAGCACAAAAAATAAAAAACCGCACAGGTAATCAAATACCCACCGAAAGAAAGCTGTATTGGTGGGAAGAAAAGGACCTAAATTTCATTTGGGTGTAGCGTTGCATGACCAAGCAATTGTCAGTTAAAGTAACGCAGCGCCGTATTGCAAAAAATGGCCTGGTCAGGAAGGGTGGGGGAACCATCTGGAGGGCAAGGGGTTAAGAACTGAGACCGGGAAGTGGAAAATTGGGGAGGGGAGGCAGAAAGGGAGGTGATGTATGCTGCCCGAGGGTGAAAATCAAAATGTATGCAAGAATTGTTTACTAACACTGACAAGAAACATGAAGTGCCCTTTTTCTTTATATTATACAGGAAGTGTTGTGCTATAGGCGATAGAAAGCTGGACCATGTGAAGGAGAAGAAACGGACCATCTGAAGGAGAAGAAACGGACCAGCAGGGTTGAATTTCTGAGCATTGCCAATAGATGTCCTAAACAGGAAATCGATCTTCATTGCATCTCCAACTGTTATGCCTTAGAGTCACTGAGTTTTATCCCTGCAGGTAAGTATCAAGAGTTTTATGTTTTTCATCTTGCATTTTCACCCATTTTTTGTAAAAATAAATATTTATCGGCCATTCCAGAGACAAGAATGTTGTCTATCTTGGTCACATGAGATACATGAGGTCATCACAGAGGACAAGGGGGCGCTCTTTACGTCTGGATGAAAAAAAATTTAATCTCCAAACACGGAAAGGTTTCTTCACAGTAAGAGCTGTGAAAATGTGGAATAGACTCCCTCAAGAGTTGGTTCTGGCCAGCTCAGTGGATTGCTTTAGAAAAGTCCTGGATTCTTTTTTGGATACACAGAATATAACTGGATATAACATTTATAGGTAAAGTTGATCCAGGGAATATCCGATTGCCTCTCGGGGGATCAGGAAGGAATTTTTTCCCTGCAGGAGCAAATTGGACCGTGCTTTGCTGGGTTTTTTGCCTTCCTCTGGATCAAATGTGGGTGTAGGTTTATATAACTTTTTTTTTTTTTTTTTTATGGTTGAACTGCATGGACTGTTGTCTTTTTTTCCAGACTAACTATGAAGCTGCCTATGGGCTCATATACACTGCAGCTGCTAAAACTTAAGTTTAGGAGCAGTTGTGCATTTTTTTTCAGCAGCCCTTGAACTCTCCTTTATGTTTTCCTATGTGTCCATGTACACACAGTCATTTACAGGCAGTTGCAGTTACAGGCATTTTTTCTTTTTGAAAGCACAAAAATCATGTTCAGGAGTAGAGTATACCGGCATTTCAAATGCTTGTAAACGCGTTTATGCGCATTTGCGTTTAGATGCGTTTTTGGGCTGGTCCATATCCTGATGCTGTCCAGTGTCTTTTTTCTTCATCAAAAATGCAGGCACTGCGTTTTCCATGTATTCAAATGGACCCGGTACACCAGTGCAGTCAGTTCCAGGTATTGCGTGCAGGAAAAAAATGGTAGAACGCGCTGCATTATTCCTGCACAGAATTGTACTGGAACGCATCAAAACACAGGAAAAAAAAGGACAAGGAGTGTTGTGTGCACTCCAGAATGCATCCGGAGGCATTACAGGCATTACAGCACTATGTAGCTCCTCCCACAGTGCCAAGCATGTTTCACAAGCCACTTTTGCTACAGTTGTAACACCCATCAGAAAGTAGTGCTCTCTCTGCTTTGGTGGTGCACCGAAATGAAAATTCTGGTGCTGAAAACAAAAATTCAAAATGCACTTGGCCGAAAACCGAAACCGAGACGTGCAGTTTTCACAAAGGAATATATATTTTTTGGAAAAAAATACACTTTGATTAAAAAAAAATGTTAACCCAAATTTTTGTAAAATATGAAAGAGGATTTTACGGCGAGTAAATAGATACCCAACATGTCACACTCTAAAAATGCGCACATTCGTGGAATGGCATGAAACTGCGGTACTTAAAACCTCCATGGGTGATGCTTTAAAAATGTCTACAGGTTAGCAGTGTAAAGTTACAGAGGAGGTCTAGTGCGAGAATTATTGCTCTTGCTTTGACGTCGTGGTGATACCTCATGTGTGTGGTTTGAACACTGTTTACATATGTGGGCGTGGCCTATGTATGCGCTCAACACTACGTGTGCTTTTTTTTTTATTTCTCTGATTTTTTTCTGTTTTTTGCACCGTCCCTTTAAAAAAAATGTAATCACTTTTATTCTTATCACAAGGAATGCATGCATCCCTTGTGATAGAAATAAGTAGTGACAGGTCCTCTTTATGGAGGGATATGGGGTCAGTAAGAACCCACATCTCTCCTCTACAATGTAAAGCATTGGGTCAAAAAAAAAAGCATTGCTCTATTGCTTTAAGAAAAATGGACGGAACCGGAAGGGACATTGCTACAGTCCTCCAAGGACATATAGATGAGTGGTGGCTATCTTTCCTTCACTTATCTCTATGCCCAGCGCCGGAATCGTTCGATGGTTTCTCAGGTAAGGCTGAGAAGGACCGAGCGGCAGCAGCTGTGGGTGGGCAACAGCGGGCGGGCGGTTTTTTTTTGACACACCTGTGCATTTTTTTTTCATTTCGGGCAACGGCCAAAAAGGGGTGTTTTCGGCCGAAACGTTTCCGCCACCAAAATTTCGGTGCAAGAACAGTATAATAATAAATACACATTATATATATATATATATATATATATATGGTGCAAATTGCGCTTAAAATAGGAAGAAGCAAACACAATAAGAAGATATCAGTTCC